ATTAGTTGGGCATGGTTGTGCACGCCTATAGTCCCAGCTACTTGGGAGACTGAGGCAGAATAGCTTGAACCCGGGAGGTGGAGTGGTGAGTGGAGATCACACCATTGCAGTCCAGCCTGGGCAACAGAGTGAGACTCTGTCTCAAAAAAAAAAAAAGTGTGTGCTTATATGGGCTGGGCACCAATACATTACGCTTTTTCATTACTTTTTTTTTATGGTGGAAAGATATACATATATTTAGAATTAGCCAGCTGGACTGTTTAGATGATCCCAATTTTGTTGGCAACATCCAAAGCGTCGTAATCAGGAGCCAGTCGAACATAGGCCTTCTCTCCAACAGGCCGAATCAGGGTGCTGACCTTGGCCACATCAAGGTCATGGAGCTTCTTCACAGCCTGTTTGATCTGGTGCTTGTTGGCTTTAACATCCACAAAATGAACACAAGCGTGTTGTTGTCTTCTATCTTCTTCATGGCGGACTCAGTGGTCAGCAGAAACCTGATCGCATAGTGGTCAAGCTTCTTTCTCCTGGGGGCGCTCTTCCGAGGCTATTTGGGCTGCCTCTGGAGTCGCAGTGTCTTGGGCCGCCGGAAGGTGGGTGACGTGCGGATCTTCTTTCTTCTGTGGCTGTGGACACCTTTCAACACTGCCTCCTTGGCCTTTATTTATTTTTTTTTTTAGATTTGGATAATTTATTCTAACAAAAGCATAAAGTATGGAAAATTAGTGTATTTGAATCATTTCAGAGAGTAAAGCAAGTTTCACACTAGCAGATTTCAGATTTTAGCACCTTTGAAAAGAAATATTCAGAGTTAAGACAAGTGGCAACACAGTCTGCCGGTGACCTGCAGGGAGACTCATCTGACTTCGGTGCGGTTCACGTCACAGTGTGGTCATTTGGTTTTTTTTTCTCTACATTTTGAGAGTGCCACAAAACACACTTAAAGAGAATGAGAAAAGAGTTCATTGAATTCATGGCTGGTGTTTAGAGGATGAACTAGAGACAAAGGAGAAAGGTCACAGGCTGGACTGCAGGTCAAATAGACAGTCCGAAGGCGCTGACGATGCAGTACATGGTCTTATTCTCCCATCGCACGGTGCAGCTCCCGTCAGTGGAGCTGTCCCAGAAGCAGGAACTTGCTGTGTGTAATCCCGCGCCATTCTTCTGCATAATTACACAGGTCACAATGTATTTAAATGGTTTTCCCAGCTTGGTGAGTTGGCTTAAAGTTTGTTCTACTACATTTGTGGTCCATTGGTTCACTTTGCTGTGTTGATAAGCGTTACCACCAATTGCGCTTTCTATAGCCTCTTTTACAATGTTACTCACTTCATCCACAACAAAAGCAGTCTCCTCCGCAGCCTGATAGTCTTCCATCTTTCCTCCCGCGCGTCCTTCGGCTTTAGGAGAGGCAGGAGCTGCCTTCTTCGCTTTGGCTTCGGCTTTAGGAGGGGCAGGAGCTGCCTTCTTCGCTTTGGCTTCGGCTTTAGGAGGGGCAGGAGCTGCCTTCTTCGCTTTGGCTTCGGCTTTAGGAGGGGCAGGAGCTGCCTTCTTCGCTTTGGCTTCGGCTTTAGGAGGGGCAGGAGCTGCCTTCTTCGCTTTTGGCGCCATCTTCACTTTGTTTTTTTTTCAGACGGAGTCTCGCTGCTGTTACCCAGACTGGAGTGCAATGGCAGGATCTCGGCTCACCACAACCTCTGCCTCCTGGGTTCAAGCAATTCTCCTGCCTCAGCCTCCCGAGTAGCTGGGACTACAGGCGCGCACCACCATGCCCAGCTAATTTTTGTATTTTTAGTACAGACCGGGTTTCACCTTGTTGACTAGGATGGTCTCGATCTCTTGACCTCGTGATCCACCTGCCTTGGCCTCCCAAAGTGCTGGGATTATAGGCGTGAGCCACCGTGCCCGGCTTCATTAATTTTTTCTTTTCACTCTTCTGTGTTGTTTGAATTACTTAATTTTGTAAACTAAACACATACTATTTTTAAGTTAAGAAAAACCAGTAATAAGATTTTGTAGAAGAGATGAGTAGCTGCCTCTAAAAACCACTCTCCTGTTCCTCCTCAGTAACAGAAGCCCTGCTTTCCAGCAGGATGCTCTCTTTCCCAGATTAAAGATCACATTTCCCAGCCTCCTGTGCAGCTGGTCATAGCCACGTGAAGACGTCCTGGCCAAGGGAATAACTGTTTTATTTTATTTTTTTGAGACAGACAGAGTATTGCTCTATTGCCAGGCTGGAGTGCGATGGCACGATCTCAGCTCACTGCAACCTCCACCTCCTCCTGGGTTCAAGTGATTCTCCTGCCTCAGCCTCCTGAGTAGCTGAGATTACAGGCGCCTGTCACCACGCCCAGCTAATTTTTGTATTTTTAGTAGAGATGGGGTTTCACCATGTTAGCCAGGATGGTCTCAATCTCTTGACCTTGTGATCCGCTTGCCTTGTCTTTCCAAAGTGCTGGGATTATAGGCCTTAGCCACCGCGCCCAGTGAGATAACTGTTTTAAACATCTCTGCTCTGCAATTCCTTCCGTCTGATAACTAGGGGAGCTGATGCCTAACTGCATGGTCTCTTATTTTGCTAAAATACATCTCCAAAAACAAAGTAATAAATAAAAGGAATGTCTATTTTGCAGAGGAGTAAACAAAGGCTCAGAGCACAGAAGGTGACCGTCACCAGGTCTAGGCAGGCAAGGATAGAACCCAGCACCAAACATTCCTCACTACCACCCAGCATCTCCCCAGGGCCTCAGACAGAAGTTGGGCTTTCAAAAAGCAGGTCCTGGGGTCCCACTGCCCAGGAATGGCAAACAAACAGACAGGTGAAAGGGTCACCACCAGGCAGTCACAGAAGCAGCTGCTGCCTGATTCTACATACAGGAGCTAACTAGAGTAGTAAAAAGTCAGAGAGACAAGTAGAAAGGAGGCTGCCAGGTGCTGTGAGGCAGGAGAAATGTGGAGCTGGTGTCTGTTGAGTGTGGAATTTCAGTTTGGGAAGAGGAAGTTCTTGGAATGGATAATGGTGATCGGGGCACAACAGTGTAGATGTACTCTGTCACAGGACTATATACTTAAAAATGGTTAAAATGAGCCAAGTGAGGTGGCTCATGCCTGTAATCTCAACACTCTGGGAGGCTGAGGTGGGTAGATCACCTGAGGTCAGGAGTTCGAGACCAGCCTGGGCAACATGGTGAAACCCTATCTACTAAAAATACAAAAATTAGTTGGGTATGGTGGTGGGCGCTGTAATCCCATCTACTCAGGAGGCTGAGCAGGAGAATTGCTTAACCCAGGAGACAGAGGCTAGTGGTAGTGAGCCGAGATTGTGCCACTGCACTCCAGCCTGGGTGACAGAGAGAGACAGTCTCAAAAACAAAACAAAACAAAACAAAAAGGTTAAAATGGAAACATAGGTAAAAATGGTAAATTTGATGTTATGTGCAGATGTGGGCTGAACCAATCTCCTAAAATTCATGTGTTGAAGTCTTTTTTTTTTTGAGACAGGATCTCACTCTGTTGCCAGGTGCCAGGCTGGAGTGCAGTGGCGTGATTTCGGCTCACTGCAACCTCTGTCTCCCAGGTTCAAGCAATTCTCCTGCCTCAGCCTCCTGAGTAGCTGGAACTACAGGTACACACCACCAGGCCCAGCTAATTTTTATATTTTAGTGGAGACTGGCTTTCACTATGTTGGCCAGGATGGTCTCGATCGCTTGACCTCGTGATCCACCCACCTCAGCCTCCCAAAGTGCTGGGATTACAGGGGTGAGCCACCACGCCTGGCCTATGTGTTGAAGTCTTAACCTTCAGCACCACCGAAACTGAATTTAGAGAGAGGGTCTCCCCACCTTTTTTTTTTTTTTGCGATAGGGTCTTGCTCTGTTGCCCAGACTGGCATGCAGGGGTGTGATCTTGGCTCACTGCAGCTTCAACTTCTGAGGCTCTAGTTAGTGATCCTCCTGCTTCAGCCTCCTGAGTAGCCAAGACTACAGGTGTGTGCCGCTATACCTGGCTAATTTTTTTTTTTTTTTAGATGGAGTCTTGATCTGCTGCCAGGCTGGAGTGCAGTGGCGTGATCTTGGCTCACTGCAACCTCCACCTCCAGGGTTCAAGCGAATCTCCTGCCTCAGCCTCCTGAGTAGCTGGGACTACAGGCGACTGCCACCACACCCAGCTAATTTTTGTATTTTTAGTAGAGACGGGGTTTCACTATGTTGGCCAGGATGGTCTCAATCTCTCGACCTTGTGATCTGCCTGCCTAGGCCTCCCAAAATGCTGGAATTACAGGCATGAGCCACTGCGCCCAGCCAGATTTTTTTATTTTTAGTAGAGACCAGGTCTCATATGTTGCCCAGGCTGGTCTCAAACTCCTGGGCTCAAGCGATCCTCCCGACGTGGCCTCCCAAGTGCTGGGATTATGGGTGTGAGTCATTGTGCCCAGCCCGGATAAGGTCTTTAAAACACTAAGGTCCAGTGGGCTCATTATGGTGGGCCCTAATCCAGTACAACTAGTGTCCCCATAAGAGAAGCTTAGGACTCAGACACATACAGAGGAAAGACCACATGAAGACACAGGGAGAACATGGCCTTATGCAAGCCAAGGAGAGAAGCCACAGAAGAAACCAGCCCTGCCCACACCTAGATCCTGGACTTCCAGCCTCCAGAACTGCAAGAAAATCCAATTCTGTATTTTTGTTGTTTAAGCTGCTTGGTCTGTATTACTTGTTACAAGGGCCCTAGCAAGCTACATCAGTATTTTTCGTTTTTATTTTTTTACAAATCAGGCAGCCCCCACAAACCAGAATAGGCTCAGGGAGACTGCCTATTTCAGTATATTTTCCCAGGGTAAAAAAAAAAAAAGTTTAGAAAACATTCCATCATAAAAAAAAACAACTCTACCAATACAGTAATGATCACCACTCTCAGCTGTCAGCTGATTTCTCCTTTCTTCCTTATGCTTTCATTCGAATGTCTTCAGTGAACGAACCCAAGTCCCGTCTGCTCACCTGAACAGCACACCTTTGATGACCTGCCAGGCATTGGGTGCTGGCTGGGGTGGTGCGTTCTGAGGCTGGGTCTCTGCTGGCGTGTCTCTCCCAATGCTGCCATTGCTGGTCACCTGTGGGGGACAGAGGCCATGGTAAGGAGGGAGAACGGACACAGACGCTGTCTTAGACACCATCACACACGAAGGCCGGGCACAGGATGAGCACAGAGTGGGTACGGCTGGGCGCGGTGGCTCACGCCTGTAATACAAGCACTTTGGAGGCCAAGGCGGGCAGATCACCTGAGGTCGGGAGTTCAAGACCTGCTTGACCAACATGGTGAAACCCCGTCTTAAAAAAAAAAAAAAAAGAAAGAGTGGGTGCTTACCGATAACTGGAGAATGAATCAAGGAAAGCACCTGGGAAGGTGGGGTCCTCTTCTTTTAGGAGGAAAACACTCCCTCAGTGCCTCCTCTGTGCTGGGGACCCACTGGTGACCCAGACAGTCCTTTACTGTCCTCCTGGGGTTCGACAGCCTGGCGGGGGAGACAGACTCATCTCTAGATCTCTAGACAGTAGCTGTCCAGAGTGGGGCTGGAATGCAGGAGCCTCAAGAGGTACCTGGGGTCCAGCAGAGGGGTCGGGGTGACTTCCTGGAGGAGTGAGCATCGGAGCTGAGACCCAAAACATAGTAAATTGGTGGTGCAAAGGAGGAAGTAAGAGAAGCAGCAGGTGAAGAAACAGAAGATGAGAGACACAGTCTGATTCTGATGACTGTTCACTGTTCCCTGGGGCTGGAGCCAGGATGCAAGGAAGTGGCTATCAGGGACAACAAGAGAAGGAGTCTCGTGGCAGGTGCCAGGTTCTTCAAGGCTGGGACTTAGCTGAAAGGGCCTTCCCTGGGCAAACCATTCCTGAGGTTCCCTCTGTGCCCAGTCTTCCCCACCAAGGACCGCTGGTCCAGCAGGTGAGACAGACAGAAAAATACAACCAGACTATCAGCCCCTACCATGAGCCACAGCCACAGGACATGTATGTGATGGCACACAGCACACTAACCCTGAGGCCACAATTATGACCAGCTCCATCTGGCTGCTGAGCAAAACGAGGCCCAGAGAGGTGAAGCCACTTGTCTGGTCACTGGGGAAGGATGAACGCAGAGGCAGAATGACAGAAGAGAAGTGGAGTGGGCGAGGGAGTCAGGCAGGGCTTCCCGGAGGAGGGTTCTTCACTCAGACACAGAAGCTCACAATCAGAGACTCTCCAAATGTCAGGTTGGGAAGGAGATGTTCTGCTCAACCTTCGTGCACCCTGCTGGCTCCCCAGTGCTGTTCTCATTCACCCCTCCTCCCAACGTCCCCTCAGCCATCAGCCTTCAAGAGGCAGAAGCAGGGCTGTCATGGTCACGGTTAGCTTGGGAGCACCAGCGGCACAGAGCAGGGGTGTGATAAACACATGTGAAGCCACTGCTGTCTAAAGGGCTCGCCCTGGAGGCTCAGGTCACCCAAACCCAGGTCCCACTGAGACTCCAGGATCCAGCCTTCCCCTCCACAACCCCCAGCCCATGCCTCTGCAATGTTTTCTCTGTTCACCTCACCCACCAGATAGCAAATGCCCCAGGAGCATGGTCAGAGGGGCCACATTTGTTAAATGTTTCACTCGTCACCTCCTGTCCCCTTCCCCAGCAAGAGCTCTTTCCTGTAATCTCCCAAAGCACAGGACGGCACTATAGGGGCTCCAGGGTCAGACGGACCTGAGCTATAGTCCTAGTCCCACCGTTCTTGGCACATCACTTCTGTGATGTGATCCCCTCTGACCTGCGGACCAGGTTGTGAAAATACCGGCACATTTTAGACAGAAATTTGGGACCTATTTGTCCAGAGCTGGGGATCTAGAGGGAAACACACCAGAAGTGTAAACAAGGTAATTAAAAACGGTATATGGAAAACAAGCAGGTGGAAGTGACAGCAACTGAGTTGGGGACAGGGACCCACTTTGGAGTGGGTGGTCAGAGGTCTCCCTAAGGAACTCCCTTTGATGTCCGGGTCGTCTGGGTGAGACCCTCGGGCTGAGACAGAGGCAGCCATATTCTAGTGAGGAGATCTAGGGGGGGGGGGCCCTACTCAAGGCCAGCCTAGCTCCTGGGAGATTTACTGGTCCAAGTAAGGCCTTCAACGGGTCTGAGCTGATTCGGGGTCAGGAATGGACGCTTGGCACCAGGTCAGGATTTGAAGCCACATCTGGCTGACTCCCAGGTCTCTGCTCTTACCCATTAGTGACGGGTGATCTGGCTGGGAACCTTCCCACGGAAAGGCAAGTTAAAACCACAATGAGATGTTGCTTCGCACGCATTAGGGTGACCAGCATCACAGAGATGGACAATCACAAGTGCTGGCGGAGATGTGGAGAAACGGGAACCTCGTACACTGCTATGGGGAAAGTAAAAGTGCAGCCACTTCGGAAAATACAGCAATTACTTAACGAGTCCTATGTGCACCTACTACACAATCCAACAAACCCAACCTGGATGGCTGCCCAGGAGGCAGAAAACACGCAGCAGGCCAGGTGCAGTGGCTCACACCTATAATCCTGGCATTTCTGGAGGAAGACAGGAAGATCGCTTGAGCCCAGGAGTTCAAGACCAGCCTGAGCAACAGAGCAAGACCTCATCTGTATTTAAAAATGTAAAAATTAGCCAGGTGTGGTGGTACATGCCTGTGGTCCCAGCTACTCAGGAGGCTGAGGTGGGAGGATTGACTGAGCCTTGGAGGATGAGGCTGCAGTGAGCCAGAATCACCCCAATGCACTCCAGCCTGGGCAACAGAGCGTGACTCTGTCAAAACAAAAACAAAAACAAAAACAAAATATGCCAAGCGTGGTGCCTCACGCCTGTAATCCCAGCACTTTGGGAGGCTGAGGTGGGTGGATCACGAGGTCAGGGGTTCCAGACCAGTCTGACCAACATGGTGAAACATGGTCTCTAGTAAAAATACAAAAATTAGCCAGGCATGGTGGTGTACACCTGTAATCCCAGTTACCTGGGAGGCTGAGACTGGAAAATTGCTTGAACCTGGGAGGAGGAGGTTGCGGTGAGCCGAGAGCGCGCCATTGCACTCCAGCCTGGGCGACAGAGGGAGACTCCATCTCAAAACAAAACAAAACAAAACAAAAACAAACAAACAAACAAACAAAACAAACAATGGTGTCTCCTAACACTTTGGGAGGCCAAGGCAGGAGGATCCCTTGAGCTCAGGAGTTGGAGACTAGCCTGGGCAACATAGGGAGACCCTGACTCTATTACTTAAAAAACAAGAAACAAAACACAGCCACACAAAAGCTTGTACATGAATGTTCATAGCAACATTCCTGGTAATAGCCAAAAACTACAAACAACCCAAATATCCTTTGAGGAGTGAAAGAATAAACTGTGCCACGTCTGTGGACTACGACTCGGCAGTGAAAAGGAACAACTGGGAGCATGCACTTTAGGATTTCCCCAAAGGCCAAATTTCCCTGATCCTAGGTTGTAAAAAATAAAATAAAAAGGAACAACCACAGACCTATGCAACACTGTAAACGTCAAACCCATTTTGAGTCTCTGCTGCCTAGGCTGGGAGAAGCAGAGCCTGCAAAAGGGAACTTTCTGAGGGGACAGAAGCTTTCTCAGACCAGACCATGGTGACGGCTGCGCCATACAACTGCATAAATGGACCAGGAGCCGCTGAACCCTATCCTGGCAACAGGTGAACGTTAGAGCATCTAAATTATACTCCAATAAAGAGTCATTCTCGGCCGGGTGCGGTGGCTCAAGCCTGTAATCCCAGCACTTTGGGAGGCCGAGGCAGGTGGATCACGAGGTCAAGAGATCGAGACCATCCTGGTCAACATGGTGAAACCGCGTCTCTACTAAACATACAAAATTTAGCTGGGCATGGTGGCGCAGCCTGTAGTCCCAGCTACTCGGGAGGCTGAGGTAGGAGAATTGCTTGAACCCTGGAGGCGGAGGTTGCCGTGAGCCGAGATAGTGCCATTGCACTCCAGCCTGGGTAATAAAAGCAAAACTCAAAAAAAAGAGTCATTCTCAGCGAAGTGAGATGGCTCATGCTGGTAATGTTAGCACTGTGGGAGGCCCAGGCAGGCTGACTGCTTTAGGTCTGGAGTTCAAAACCTATCTCTATTCAAAATACAAAAATTAGCCAGAAATTGCTTGAACCCAGGAAGCAGAGGTTGGAGTGGGCCAAGATCATACCACTGCACTCCAGCCTGAGTGACAGAGCAAAACTCCATTTAAAAAAAAAAAAGTCAGGCCGGGCGTGGCGGCTCATGCCTGTAATCCAAGCGCTTTGGAGGCCAAGGTGGGTGGATCACCTGAGGTCGGGAGTTCAAGACCAGCCTGACCTACATGGTGAAACCCCGTCTTTAAAAAAAAAAAAAAGTCACTCTCCCCAACTCCTATTTCCCTCAGAGTAAAGGCCAAGTCCACCCTAAGGCCTCCAAAGCTTGGCATCTGACCCCACCCACCTCTCTCCCCTCACTCATGGGCTCCAGCTTCCTCACCATCGCTCCATCATACCAGGCACCTCCCACCTCAAGGCCTTCACACCCGCTAATCCTTTGCCTGAAGGGCTTTTCCTTGTGTATCTTTGGGGCTCCCTTTCTCACTTCCTTCAGGTCTTTGTTCAAGCGTCACCTCCTCAGAGAGGCCTTCCTAGACTACCCTATTTAATTGCAACTCTTCTATCCCCAGCCCAGTTTTATTTCTGTCCATGGCACGCACAGCCAGCTGAACTGCTGTTTTTCTTATTTATCTTGTTCACTGTGTGTACCCATCTGCGCTTCCCCTAAATCCAACTCTAACTAGAACATAGGGCAAGGGCCTTCAAGAGGGCAGCACCTATTTTGTTCACAGCTGTATCCCCAGCATCAGCACAATGTAGCTGACTCAATTTGCATTTGCTGAAGGATGAATGCAAAACTGTGGGTTCTGTGTCTGAGTTTCTGGCCATAGGAGCAGGCTGGCTAAGGCAGGAGACAGGGCCGAGGGTCTGCCCGCTGTGCACTAGGCTCCAGCCGTGGGAGGGTAGCAGTGCCTGTGGACACATCAGTGACTAAGACACAGTTCCTGCTCTTAGATCTGCATGTCTAAGATTGCATGCGCAATCCCCAGCAACATCTGCTAAGGGGCCCAGGAAGTAGCTGAGACCACCAGGGCTATGCAAGAGCAGGAGGAAGCTAGGTTTTGCCACATGTCTTCACTGGATTACCTGGATCCACCGTGGGCATCGGGAATTCCACCTCAGCCCAGCCTCTGTTTCAAGATCCGCTCATTCCACAAACACTGAGCACCTCCCGTGTCCGGCCCTGCGCTGAGCAGTGTTAAGAAAGCAGTGGTGACCATGACAGTCCTGGCTCTGCCCTCCTGGGGTTCCCAGAGGAGCCCAGTCCCCAGACAGTGAAGCCCAGTGGAGGCAGGGCTGCGACAGGGGAGCCCAGACAGTCAAAGAGGACTTTCTGCAGGAGGGGACATCTGAGATCCGTAGGACACACATCAACCAGCTAACAAGGGGAGAGACCTGTGCATTTACTATGAGGAAAGGGACTGAGAAGCAATAAAAGAGGTTTAGAAATAAAATAGGTTCAGAGCAGTGAATCCTCCCTAGGACAGAGGTTCTCACACAAGGAAGCCTTTGCCCCCCTGCTTCTGGAACATTTGTCAATGTCTGCAGACATTTTTGGTTGTCACAAGTGGGGCGTGCATGCTACTGACATCTGGCATGTAGAGGCCAGGGATGCTGCTCAACACCCTAAATTGCGCAGGGCAGCCCCCCAAACAAAGCATTATCCAATTCAAAATGTCAGGAGTCCCGAGTTCGAGAAATCCTAGGCTGGTCTGAAGAAAAGAGTCGGATGGTGCAAGGCTGAGATTTATTCAAGAATTTGTACTTCACCCTAAAGGCAAAGGGGTAAGTCTTGATTGTTTTTAAGCAGAGTTGGTACAAGAGAAGATCAGAGTGCCATCTGGAAGCTCAGGGCAATCAGAGCAACCTGGGCCCTGGTCTCTCAAACCACCCCCAATCCAATAATCAACAGAAACTAAGAGGGGAAACGACCCCCTTTCAGCAAGACTGGGAAACCCTTGAAGACAGGAGCTGAACCTTCGTTCCAGCACTAACTCAACAAACATTTCCTGAGCTGTCCCTGAGGCCAGGCCCTGGCTGAGAATGCTGAAGAGATTCAGAGCAGATATAGTAGGCGCTATCACACAAATTTCATTCAGGTGTCCTCCCCAGGTATTATCACTTGATCCTTCTCTGGGCTCCCCCAGTCCCTGACACAGACTTTTGTCACCAACCTAATGATTCAGGATTATAACTCTTTGTTTACATGTCAGTCTCCACTCCCCCCCGACCCCCAGAGAGCAGGGACATGGCTGGCCCTCCTGTCCAACCTCTGCATTTGACACAGGAGAAATAAAGGCCAGAGAGAGAAAGGAACTCATCCAAGGTCATACAAAGAGTCAGCTTTATTCTCCCCTCTCAACCGGCACTCCTCTCCCCTGAGCTGCCTCCCACATGTCAGTGACATCCCAGTGGGTGGGTCGACAGCACCTTGATGTCTCCATCTATTTCCCAAATGCCTGAACGGTGGCTGCCTGAAATGGTATGTTCTGCAGTGTGTTTAATTAAGGCAGCAGTGGGTCAGAAGTCATCAGCACCTGGACTAATTAACCCATAGGACGAGTTTACGTTAAAAGCACATCATACCAGTCCCTGTGTCAGCAATATCTTGTATGAAGTTACAAACCTAACCGTGATGACCTTCTGGAAGCGCCTTAGTCTCCCTGTTCCTTGGATTCCCGTCTGTAAAATGGGTCTGTCGGCGCTGCTCTGAATATCCTGACTTCCCCAGAGCCAGAAAACTCCTAATCACTGCGCACACCTCAAGCTCTACAACGAGACCCTGAATGCCAGACGACTGTAGAACCGGCCTTGGAGGCTGGAATCCCGGAGTCGAGAACCCAACGCGCCAAGATACAAGCCTGCATTTCTCCAAGCCACTGTCTCCCCGGCTCGAGCGACGAACCTGGTGGCTGCCCGGAGCGAGCGTGCAGGAGACCCGACACGCAACAGGGCCCCGTTCCCGGCACCGTCCGGCCTCTCCGGCTGTCCGGCCCCGCTTGGGGCGGGTATTCAAGGTCCCTCTGGGCAAGGAGCCCCCAGTGCACGGGATTCTGCGACAAAGAGTAGGACACGCCCTGTGGGAGGCCCCCCGGCCGGGGAAGAATCCCCTCAGTCCCCTCTCGGCCTCCGTACCTGACCGGAGCCGCCTCCCCCGGCCGCCACCACGGCGCTGCGGGCCCCGTCCGCCTCCTGCGCCGCCGCCATCTTCCCGCTCCGGGTCCCCGCCCCCGCCGCCAGCCCCGCCCCGTCCCCGACGGCGCAGCGCAATCGCGCGAGATTTCACGCTTTCCTAGCCCTGACGGGCCACCGTATCCTGCAAGCGCGCCTTAGCCACGCCTCTCGGGAGGGCCACTTCTGGTTACGAAAGGACCGACCGGGCCCCCGTACTCCTCTTCCCCGCAGCCCATTTATTTTCACCTAGTAGAAACGCTGTACACTCCAAAAATCCAGGACTTTCTCGGCCAGCATGCGCCTCCCACAAGTTCTGTCCCTTCCGCCCCGTCGTATTAACTCGACTTTTAGAGTTTTATGAGTCTTCCGGTCATCCTGTCCGCTTCTCCCTGCCGATTCTTCGAGTCCTTTCGTTCCATGTTTCTTGAGCTTTACCGGCCACAGTACAGGCTTCAAGACACGCCCTGTGTCGTCATAGGAACTTTTCTGGCCACCGTATTCGGATTGGAAGAGCAGCCTTTTACCCAGTACCCTCGTCTTCTTACTCCTCTTCCTAACACAACTCCTGCGTCCAAGTCTCCCAAGCTCATAGTCTTTCAGTGTATTTAGAGTTCCAATTCCAGGGGACTTACGGCCAACACACCTCCGATGAGACCCTATCAGACACCTCCAAGCTTTCGGGCAGCCCTGCTTAGCATGCTTGCGCGTTCCCTTAGTGGTCCAAACCTCGCATCCATGAACTCGGCTTCGCCGACTCTGAGAATTCCACGATTTTTCGTTAGCTTGTGTGTCTTCCTACGGCTCTAATCCTGGACATGTGCTGAGAGACCCCTGGCTTGGAGAAGGTGTTACGGAGGCCCAGAGAGGACAAGATTTTCAGAGGCTGCTAACCCTTCACCCGTGAACTTGGGTGCAGGTCTGGCCTGGGTTTAAACCCTTGTCCTGCTACTGACCGGCTAAGAGATCCTGGACAAGTGACTTTTTTTTTTTTTTGGCAGAGCCTCGCTCTGTCGCCCAGGCTGCAGTGCAATGGCGCGATTTCGGCTCACTGCAACCTCTGCCTCCCGAGTTTAAGTAATTCTCTTGCCTCAGCCTCACGAGTAACTGGAATTACAGGAGTGCGCCGCCACGCCCAGCTCTTTTTTTTTTTTTTTCCTGTATTTTTAGTAGAGACGGGGTTTTGCCATGTTGGCCAAGCTGGTGACAAGTGACATCTCTGTTTGAGTCTCAGTTTCTCCCCCTTTTATAAACTAGGGATTATAATCATACTTGTTATTCGTCTTTCTGTTTTGCCTTGTTGTGTTATTTGGGAAGACTTAGTTAGCTAGCGAATGTAAAACATGAGGTCCTGGGCCTCATGCTTAAGTGGTCAATATTCAAGGTGCTGTGATTTTGAACTTTATAAATTACCTGGAGGGAGTGCAAGCTTTGCATTGGGATATTCTAAATATTTGTCATTTTATTATCTGTTACCTCCACTTTTCTCTAGGTCTCAGCTCTTAGTATCTCTCGCTCTAGGAAGCTCCCCCTGAGCCCATTTCCCATTCTTCCTGGCCCCCTCAGCTCCTCCATCCCACGCCGATCACTTTGTGTCATCACTGTCAGGGATGGGTGTGTCTCCCCAACTGGGCAGGCTGACCTGGGACTGTTGTGGTCACTGCTGTATCTCCAGCACTGCCCTGGGGATGATTCCTGAAAGAAAGTATGAGGCTCTCAGCCGGGCGTGGTAGCTCACGCCTATAATATAGCACTTTGGGAGGCTGAGGCGGGCGAATCACGAGGTCAGGAATTGGAGACCAGCATGACCAACATGTTGAAACCTTGTCTCTACTAAAAATATAAAAATTAGCTGGGTGTAGTGGCGCGCGCCTGTAATCCCAGCTATTCGAGAGGCTGAGGCAGGAGAATCTCTTGAACCCGAGAGGCGGAGGTTACAGTGAGCCGAGATCGCGCCATTGAACTTTAGCCTGGGCCACAGAGTGAGACTCCACGCCTCAAAAAAAAAAAAAAAAAAAAAAAAGAGCGCTTTGGGAGGCCAAAGCCCAAGGCGGGTGGATCACAAGATCAGGAGATCAAGACCATCTGGCCAACGTGGTTAAACCCCGTCTCTACTAAAAATACAAAAAATTAGCCGGGCGTGGTGGCGCGCACCTGTAATCCCAGCTACTCAGGAAGCTGAACCATGAGAATCGCTTGAACCTGGGAGGCGGAGGTTGCTGTGAGCCAAGATCGCGCCGCTGCACTCCAGCCTGGGCGACAGAGCAAGACCGTCTCAAAAAAAAAAAAAAAATAGCTGGTGTGGTGGCATGCACCTGTGGTCCAGCTACTCTAAGGCTGAAGTGGGAGGGACGCCGGAGCCCAGGAGTTCGAGGTGGCAGTGAACTGTGATCACACTACTGCACTCCAGCCTGGACGACAGAGTGAGACCCTGTCTCTAAAAAAAAATAATCATAATAAGTAAAAACTTCGCCATTTCTACTCTAAGTCACAGGACAGGCACTCTTCTCTCCACTAGGGGGCGCAAAATACTGATCGGGGCTGTGATTTCAGGTTCTAAGGGAGAAAGGGGCTGGGGATCCAAACTTTAGGTCCTGAGGAAAAGGGATTGGGGGATCCCAGACTCTTGAGTTCTAGGGAAAGAAGAATCTAGGGGCCTGGACTCTGGGGGCCCTGAGGGGAATGGGGTTCTGAGAAAGGAAGGAGGAGTCTGAGACAAGCACCAGGATTGGTTGGAAGCGGAACTGGTCCGGGCAGTGCTTTAGTTTGGCTCCAGTCCGTGGGAATCAAGTGCACAGAGCAGGGATTGTTCCTGCAGGATCTACCCTTCCCCACCACCCCCTGCGCTTGGCAGCCTCAGTCCTTCCCAGGCCCCGGGTACTCTGGGGCATTACCCGCAGTCCCTCCCCAGGGCGCCTGTTTTCTACTGGACTCAACCGCCCAGCCTCAAGACCTGGAAAAGCTGCCCCAAGAGTGTTGAAACCCTGACTGGAAGTTAATGGAGAAATACAAGCTGTGGATCCCCAGAGACCAATAGCCCCACCCATGGGACTTGGGAAGCAGGACCACCCTGGATCCCCTCAGGATACAGGAATCACCGCCCCCAGTCTTCTTCATTCATGGTCCCAGCACTGGCCTCCTTCAGACCACGGAGCCTCTGCTTATCTGTACCTTCTGCCTTCTGTGCTTTTTGCTTGCAATTAAGGTTTTCTTTTTTCTTGTTTTTTGAGACGGAGTCTTGCTCTGCTGCCCAGGCTGGAGTGAAGTGGTGCTATCTCGGCTCACTGCAACCTCTGCCTCCCGGGTACAAGCAATTCTCCTGCCTCAGCCTCCAGGTAACTGGGATTACAGGCATGCATCACCAGACTTGGCTAATTTTTGTATTTTTATTTTCATTCATTCATTTTATTTATTAAGACAGAGTTTTGTATTTTTATTTTCATTCATTCATTTTATTTATTGAGACAGAGTTTTGCTCTTTTTGCCCAGGCTGGAGTGCAATGGCGTGATCTCGGCTCATTGAAACCTCTGCTTCCCAGGTTCAAGCCATCTCCTGCTTCAGCCTCCTACATAGCTGGGATTACAAGCATGTGCCACCATGCCCAGCTAATTTTTTGTAATGTTAGTAGAGACAGGGTCTCTCCATGTTGGTCAGGCTGGTCTCAAACTCCCGACGTTAGGTGATCGGCCCACCTCAGTCTCCCAAAGTGCTGGGGTTACAGGCATGAGCCACCATGCCCAGCCATTTTTAGTAGAGATGGGGTTTCACCATGTGGCCAGGCTAATCTCAAACTCCTTAACCTCAAATGATCCGCCCTCCTTGGCCTCCCAAAGTGCTGTGATTACAGGCATGAGCCACCACGCCCAGCCCTTTTTGTTTTTGTTTGAGTCAGGGTCTCCTCCATTGCCCAGGCTGGAGGGCAGTGGTGCCATCTCAGCTCACTGCAGCCTCGACCTCCTGGGCTCAAGCAATTCTCCTGCCTCTGTCTCCTGAGTAGCTGGGATTACAGGCACACACCACCACGCCTAGCTCTACTAAAATTCGTCTCCACTAAAATTTTTCTATTTTTGTATTTTTAGTAGAGATGGGTTTCACTGTGTTGGCCAGGATGGTCTCGGGCTCTCTTGACCTCGTGATCTGCCCGCCGTGGCCTCCCACACTTCTGGGATTGCAGGCATGAGCCACCGCACCCAGCCCTGTCCTTTTTTTTTTGAGACGGTCTTCGCTCTGCAGCCCACGGTGGAGTGCTCTGTCTAAGGTTGGCCACACCCAGGGCTTTGAAGTCTTCAGCTTCAGTCTTCTTCCTTGCCTCTATTGGTGTCTGAAATTAACTTCTCCTTTTGTCTTTTTGTTCCCTGAGGGCTAGGGTCTCTCCGTTTGTGGCCTCAGGATGGAGTAGAGCTCCTGGCTGTGAGTAATAGTAATGTTACTACTATCACTAATAAGGAGAAAACAGTTAAGAAAACATATTACAGGCTGGGCACAGTGGCTCAAGCCTGTAATCCCAGCACTTTGGGAGGCCGAGGCCGGTGTATCACTTGAGCTCAGGTGTTCAAGATCAGCCTGGCCAATATGGTGAAACCCCATCTCTACCAAAAATACAAAAATGCTGCCAGGCTTGGTGACTCATGCCTGTAATCCCAGCACTTTGGGAGGCTGAGGTAGGCAGATCACCTGAGGTCGGGAGTTTGAGAGCAGCCTGGCTAATATGGTGAAACCCCATTTCGTTTTGTTTTTTTTTTTTAGATGGAGTTTCGCTCTTGTTACCCAGACTGGAGTGCAATGGCACGATCTCCGCTCACCGCAACCTCCGCCTTCTGGGTTCAAGCAATTCTCCTGCCTCAGCCTCCCGAGTAGCTGCGACTACAGGCGCTCACCACCGTGCCCAGCTAATTTTTGTATTTTTAGTAGAGACGGGGTTTCACCATGTTGACCAGGATGGTCTCAATCTCTTGACTTCGTGGTCCACCCGCCTTGGCCTCCCAAAGTGCTGGGATTATAAGCGTGAGCCACCGGACCCGGCTGGTGAAACCCCATTTCTACTAAAAACACAAAAAATTAACTGGGTGTGGTGGCGCCTGCCTGTAATCCCAGCTACTCAGGAGGCTGAGGCCGGAGAATCAATTGAACTTGGGAGGCAGAGGTTGCAGTGAACCCAGATGGTACCACTGTACTACAGCCTGGAACAGAGCAGACTCTGTCTCAAAACAAAATAATAAAATAAAATAAAACAAAAATACAAACATAAGCCCGGCATGATGGCACATGCCTGTAATCCTAACTACTCAGGAGGTTGAGGCAGGAGAATCGCTTGAACTCAGGAGGCAGAGGCTGCAGTGTGCTGAGATTGCACCATTGCACTGCAGCCCGGGCGACAGAGGGAGACTGCCAAAAAAAAAAGGAGAGAAGAAAAGAAAACATACTACAAAGCTATAATCATGAAAACCATTTGCAGTGGACCCGTGGCTTTTTGAGGGGGCACATGAGGCGGGCAGGACTCTCTTTTTCTTGCCATGTCCCCAGAGCTAGGTAGGGTCTCAGTAATGCATGGCATGTGGGATGATTACATGAGGTTTGTTAATGAGCACAGGCTCTAGAGGGCTTTTTTTTTTTTTTTTTTTTTTTTGAGACAGAGTCTTGCTCTGTTGTCCAGGCTGGAGTGCAATGGCATGATCTCAGCTCACTGCAACCTCTGCCTCCTGGGTTCAAGTGATTCTTCCACCTCAGCCTGTCAAGTAGCTGGGATTACAGGCACCCACTATCATGCCTGGCAGATTTTTGTGTTTTTGTACAGATGGGGTTTTAACTTTTTGGCCAGGCTAGTCTTGAACTCCTGATCTCAGATGATCTGCTCACCTCGGCCTCCCAAAGTGCTGGGACTACAGGCGTGAGCCACCGCACCAGGCCTAGAGGTCTGTCTTCTTGGGGCCCAGCCAATGCAACACTGACTTGGGCCCCATTCTCCCCTCTGCCACGGGATCATTATACACTAACTGCATTGGCACATTTAAAGTGTCAGCACAGGCCTGGTGCAGTGGTTCACCCCTGTGATCCCAGCACTTTGGGAGGCCAAAATGGGCAGATTGCTTGAGCCCAGGAATTGGAGACTGTTAAATGTGTGCTCTGAATGAAGAGACCCCCCCCCAAACAGACTTTGTGTGAGCACCATGGCTATTTATTCACTGAGGTGTGGGCAAGCTGAACCCGAAAAGAGAGTCAGCAGAGGGTGGTGGGATAGGAGTTGATTTTGTAGGTTTGGGGTAGGCAGTGAGAAGTTACAGAAGTTACAGTTCAGGGGGCGTTTTGCAAGCTGGGAGAGGGTTGTAGGGTCTGTAGTCATGAGGTTGACTAAGGTCGGTTACAAAGTCCAATTGCTGTATCAGTTGAGGCAGGAATAAGGAACAATAGAAGAATGTCTCAAAGTTAATTAGGCACCACAGGGGTTGGTCATTCTCCTTTTTGTGGTTTTCCAGTTACTTCAGATGTTTTAATTCTAGGAACTCATTTGGAGTGTACATGCAGGTCACAGAGGTTACTTATTACATTGTATGTGGCACAGTAAGTCAGCCTAGAAGATCTTACAGAGACTAGCCTAGGCAACATGGGGAAATTCTGTCTCTACTAAAAATACAAAAAATTAGCCAGGTGTGGCCGTGGGCATCTCTAGTCCCAACTACTTGGGAAGCTGAGATGGGACGATCTCTTGAGCTCAGTTGGTCAAGGCTACAGTAAGCCAGGATCCCACCACTGCACTTCAGGAATCTGGGCGACAGACCTTATCTCAAAACAAAATAAATAAAAAACGAAGTGTCAGTCCAGGAATTGTGAGACAGGAAAATAGGGTCTGGAGGCAGGGAACAGAAGGCCAATTCACACTTCAGATATAACAGGAAACTCGCCCCTTTATGGAGCATGCAGGAAACAGCCATAACTGTTACTGCAGGAAACTGCCCTAAATGACTTTTTAACTTTCCTTCATCTTCTCTATTTGCGTAGGGCTTACCAGACTTAACCAGTGGCGGGGAAATCCTCTAGGGGGAATTTAAGCTCCGAAAAACTCTGTAACAGGGCTTTTGAACTGCTATGCTCCGGCCGGCTCCCACATTATGGAGTGTGCTTTCGTTTTCTTTCATTCTTTTTTTTTTTTTTTTTTTTTTGTGACAGAGTTTTGCTATTGTTACCCAGACTGGAGTGCAATGGCACGTTCTCGGCTCACCGCAACCTCCACCTTCTGGGTTCGAGCAATTCTCCTACCTCAGCCTCCCAAGTAGCTGGGACTACAGGCGCAGCTGGGACCACCACGCCCAGCTAATTTTTGTATTTTTAGTAGAGACGGGGTTTCACCATGTTGGCCGGGATGGTCTCGATCTCTTGACCTCGTGATCCACCCGCCTCGGCCTCCCAAAGTGCTGGGATTATAGGCAGGCGTGAGCCACCGCGCCTGGCCCTCTTTTTTTTCTTTAGAGACAGAGTCTCAATCTGTCTCCCAGGCGGAGTGCTGTGGCGAGATCTCGGCTCACCACAACCTCCACCTCCTGGGTTCAAACAATTCTCCTGCTTCAGCCTCCCGAGTAGCCGGGACTATAGGCACATGCCACTATGCCTGGCTAATTTTTTGTATTTTTAGTAGTCATGGGGTTTCACCATGTTGGCCTGGCTGGTCTCGATCTCCTGACCTCATGATCTGCCCGCCTCGGCCTCCCAAGGTCCTGGGATTATAGGTGTGAGTCACGGCGCCCGGCCTATACTTTGGTTTTCAATAAATCCCATCATTCCTCCTGCTGCATTTTTTTTTTGTTTTTTTAGAGACAGGGTCTCACTATATTGCCCAGGCTGGAGTGCAGTGGCTATTCACAGGTGTGATCCCACTACTGATCAGCACGGGAGTTTTGACCTGCTCCGTTTCCGACCTGAGCCTATTCACCCATCCTTAGGCAACCCGGTGGTCCCCTGCTCCCAGGAGGTCACCATATTGATGCCAAACTTACTGCAGACACCAGATCAGCAAAGCGCACTACAGCCTAGAACTCCTGGGCTCAAGCAATCTTCCCACCTCAGCCTCCCGAGTAGCTGTGACTACAGGCACATGACACCGAGCCTGGCTCCTGCTGCATTTTAAAGGAAAAAAAATTAAGACAAAGAAAAATTATTGAATTAATTGCTTTAATAGCAAGGAAAAAAAGAAAAAATAATCGAACCTTCTCCCTTCCTTTGCTTTTTCATTTTCTCCAGTTCTTTGTTCGTGACACCAAGAACCTGGAACCATCCACCATTAACAGCTGGACCCTGACAGAAGCCACTGTGGACTATCTGTATCTATGATTGGTCATTTTACAGATGAGAAAGCCGAATTTTGGCCTGGTGCGGTGGTTCATGCCTGTAATCCCAGTACTTTGGGAGGCTGAGGTGACTGGATCACTTGAGGTCAGAGTTTGAGACCAGCCTGGCCAACATGGCAAAACCCTGTCTCTATTAAAAATACAAACGTTAGCCAGGCATAGTGACACATGCCTGTAATCCCAGCTACTCCAGAGGCTGAGGCACAAGAGAATTGCTGGAGCCTGGGAGGTGGAGGGTGCATTGAGCTGAGATTGCACCACTGCAGTCCAGCCTGGGTGACAGAGTAAGACCCTGTCTCAAAGAGAGAAAGCCAGACTTCAATAAAGAGTAGTCTCTAGGCCAGGTGCAGTGGCTCATGCCTGTAATCCCAGCACTTTGGGAGGCTGAGGTGGGTGAATCATGAGGTCAGGAGTTTGAGACCAGCCTGGCCAACATAGTGAAACCCCATCTCTACTAAAAATACAAAAATTAGCCAGGTATGGTGGTGTGTGCCTGTAATACCAGCTACTCAGGAGACTGAGGCAGGAGAATCACTTGAACCCAGGAGGCTGAGGTTGCAGTAAACTGAGATTGTGCCACTGCACTCCAGCCTTTGTGACAGTGAGATTCTGTATCAAAATAAAAGAGTAATCTCTAATTGCTCTTATGATTATTTATTGTTACTATTCACTCCTTTATTCCCATGGATTGGGTTAGGGCTCCATACATACAGTAGGTGCTCATTAAATGCTGGCTAGATTGAGTCAGCCCCTCCATCCTGGCCCCTGAGTCCTCAGAAAAGCAGTGACATCCATAAGGAACTTGAATTGTTTTTTATTGAGAAGAATTCAGGCTAGAGGCGGGAGCGTGACGCAAGAGCTGCTGGGAATGGGGCCTCGGTCTGAACCTGGGGGTCCAGGGGAGCGGGGACTCTCCCCTCACCCACAGACTGGGAATATAGCCGTCACTCCTCTCCCTTCAGCATAGAAAGAAGCTGGTCAGTGAGAATGCCTGCATAAGTGCTCACAGCTGCTGTGCTTTTGCTGTACATGTCCCTGGGGAGAAAGGACAGAGGGTTAGAGGAAGGAGGGGCGGGGGACCTGGACTCCTGGGTGTGAGGGAGGAGGAGGGGCTGGGGGCCTGGACTCCTGGGTGTGAGGGAGGAGGAGGGGCTGGGGCCCTGGACTCCAGAGTCTGAGGGAGGAGGAGGGGCTGGGGCCTGGAATCCTGGGTGTGAGGGAGGAGGGGTGGGGGCCCTGGGTCTGAGGAAGGAGGGACTGAGGCCTGGATTTCTGGGTGTGAGGGAGGATGGGCAAGGGGCCCTGGGTCTGAAGGAGGAGGGCCTGAGGCCTGGATCTCTGGGTTTGAGGGAAGAGGGGCAGGGGCCTGGGTCTAAGGGAGGAGGGGCTGAGGCCTGGACCCCTGGGTCTGAGGGAGGAGGCGCTGGGGCCCGGACCCCTGGGTCTGAGGGAGGAGGCGCTGGGGCCCGGACCCCTGGGTCTGAGGGAGGAGGCGCTGGGGCGGGGACCCCTGGCTCCTGGGTGCAGTAGGTGGTGTGTGCCAGACTGCAGCTCCCCAGGCGCAGGGACTACCTGAGTTTCTCGTCTACAGTGTGCAGGTATGTCTTCTGGTACAGGCTGGAGGCAGCTGCCTTTGCTGAGTCCCAGTAACTGGAGAGTGATTCCTGCATCTGGGTAAGCAAGGCCGGGCTGGCCGACTCTTCCTGCTGGGGCAGATAGGCCCCCTGGACCTCTGCGGGGGGAGAGTGTGTCAGGGGAGTGTGTGGGCTGCAGCAGAGGAAAAGGAGGTAGGAAGGAGAGGAGAGGGCAGAGGCGGGGGTAGGAAGCGCCTGGGTTGGGAAGACCTGGAATTCATTCCCGAACCTCCCTCTGCTGAAGCCCACACTCACCGAATCCCAGTACCAGGAGGACGAGAAACAGAGCCAGGAGGAATCGAGTGCCCATGGTGTCAGGAGACCTGCCACATGGGGGGGGCGTCATACGGCAGGCCAACTGGAGGCAGCCTGGCGGGGGCACTGAATCCTGCTCCTCGTTCGCTCCATGTCCGGGCAGCTTCCTCACGCCTGGACTTGGACTCGGCCCCCTTCTTGGGCCTCACTTTCCAACATTCCGTGATTCTACTCCTGATGTTAACATTGCAATTTTTTTTTTTTTTTTGAGACTGAATCTTGCTCTGTTGCTCAGGCTGGAGTGCAGTGGTGTGATCTTGGCTCACTGCAACCTCCACCTCCCAGGTTCAAGCAATTCTCCCGCCTCAGGCTCCCACGTAGCCGGGATTACAGGTGTGAGCCACTGCACTAGCCTGTTTTGATTTTTGTTTTGAGACAGGGTCTCACTCTGTGGCCCATACTTAAGTGCATTGGTACAATCACAGCTCAATGCAGCCTCGACCTCCTAGACTCAGATGATCCAAGTTGCATCGGCATGTGCCACCACACCCAGCTAACTTTTATTCTTTTGTAGAGATGGGATATTTTCTTCGTTGCCCAGGCTGGGCTGGAAGTCCTGGGCTCAGGCAATCCTCCCATCTCGGCCTCCCCAAAGTGCTGAGAGTATAGGCGTGAGCCACCGAGGCCAGCCTAGAAGGCTTTCTTGAGCACCTAAACGGTTCTGGGCCCAGGGGGGAACCCAGCAAAGGCCCTGCCTGTTGGTAAGGCTGAGTCAGTGCAGCGAGGTGCTCTGCACACGCCGTTGAGGACTCACAGTGTTGCACTGAACTGAGCACAGAAAGTCAACACCAGAACAAAAGGATGCCAAATTGCAGGGTTTATTGCCGGCGACCATGGAGGACTCACGTCTCTCCAACACATGGCAGAGAAAGAAGAGTGACAAGACCTTTTTATACCCGCAAAACCACCTTGGGAGTCGGGGTGAGGAGTGGAGATGGGAATGAAAGCTGTCAATCACCTCCTAGGCTGAGAAGAGGGTGAGGGGGCTCCAGACATTCCAAGGGCCAGGGGACTTTTGTCATTCCGATTGCCACCTAAGTGGTTTACAGGGGTCAAGGTAAACATTGGTTTATACATTATTTGGGCAGGTGTGAGGCCACAGATTTTCCATCCTTGGCGCCAGGATGGGATTATCTGGGGGTGCTTACTTTGGTAAACAAAGGCCAGCAATTCTGGCAGTTACAGATAAGAGAAAGTCTGCAGCTTGTCCTCTCTTTGCATTTTGCAAGGTAATCTTAGTAGTTTACAGAAGCCATGGCTAGCAGTCATTGTGAGAATGGAAACAGTTTTCCCATTTTAAAATGGCATTGTACTGGTTCTAATTCTAGGCCAGCTATATCACAACAGTAGATCAGACAGGTTTCCTTTGGGCTCTGCCCTGTGTCAGACCTCATCTCCCTGGACCTGCTCATTGAGTCCTCACCTACCCACTCTTGGCGATGACAAACACCCGCACGGCACAATATCGTCATCCACACAGAGGAGATGAGGAAGCTACAGCAGAAAGACGTTGAGACCTGAGCCCCAGAGAATAAGCAAAAGGTCTACAGTTTTTTTTCCAGCCTGTCACCCAGGCTGGAGTGCAGTGGTGCGATTTTGGCTCACTGCAACCTCTGTTTTCCGGTTTCAAGCAATTCTCCTGCTTCAGCCTCCTGCGTAGCTGGGATTACAAGCATGTTCCACCATGCCTGGCTAATGTTTGTATTTTTAGTAGGGACAGGGTTTCTTCACGTTGGCTAGGCTGATCTCAAACTCCTGACCTCAAGTGATCCGTCCACCTTGGCGTCCCAAAGTGTTTGGATTACAGGCATGAGCCACCGTACCCGGTCTACAACTCTTTTTTTAGTTTTTGAAAAAAAAATTTTTTTTTGAGATAGTCTTGCTCTGTCACCCAGGCTGGAGTGCAGTGGTGTGATCTGGGCTCAATGCAACCTCCACCTCCTGCGTTCAAGCAATTATTCTGCCTCAGCCTCCCGAGTAGCTGGGATTACAGATGTGAGCCACTGAATCTGACCCTTTTTCTCTTTTAGAAACTGGGTTTCTCCATCACCCAGGCTGGAACACGGTGGCGAGACCATAGCTCACTGCAGCTTCAAACTTCTGGGCTCAAGGGATCTTCTCCACCTCAGCTACCCCGACTCCAGGCACAAACTCAAATAGGCTACGATTCTAAATTCTGTGATTTGCAGGGTGTGCTGGTGCACCGTAGTCCCAGCTAATGGGGAGGCTGAGGCAGGAGGATTGCTTGAGCCCTGGAGTTTGAGTCTAGCCTAGGCAACATAGCAAGACTCCCTCACTGTCTCTCTGACACACACACACACACACAAATCATGATTCCAACACAGGCTTCTGACATTGTGCCTCTTACAATTCCTGCTTTATCGATCTTTACCCCCTCCCTGCTGATGCCCTCCCTGCCCCCCACACCCCGGGTCCTTCTCTTACCAGATTCTGGCAGGCTGTCCTCACCGGCTCTGAACGGGCACAGAGAGGCTTTATAGCTGTTGAGACCCACCTCCGCTCCACAGCCACCACCCCCATCCGTGGTCTAGGCCAAAGTCCTGGCCAACAGAACCACCACCGAGGGGGTGGATAGGGGCAAAAAGGGCAATGACGTCTGCCAAGATCAAGCCACAGGGAACCTTCACGCTAAGAATTCGCCCCTGACAGAGGCTGGGCTGGTGGCTGTGGAGGGGTTGGAGGTGCTGGGTGCCCATCGGGAATGGAGTCAGATCTTGTGGGAAACGAAGGCAAAGCTCTCAGTGAGAGCCATGGTGGAAATCTGCTAACCCTGCCCTCACTCTCCTGAAACTGACTCGCCTCCAAGTTCCCCACCCTCCGCAAGCCCGCAATGGGGTGTTATCCGTTGACACCCTTGCCTACCCCCCAAATCTCCCTCCCACGTCAGGTGTCACCTCTTCTACTCGTTAATTCCTTGGAGGGCGTGGGGTGGGGTTATTCCTAGCCACTCTGGGGAAGGAGCCAGACAGGGGCACAGGTAAGACTGTGTTTATTGGAGAAGTATGAACTTAATTTTTTCTTTTGTCCCCCCAAGAGATCTTGCTGTGTTGCCCAGGCTGGTCTAGAGCTCCTGGGCTCAAGCCATCCTCCTGCCTAAGCCTCCTGAGTAGCTGGACTACAGGTACACACCACAACCACACTGGGTTTTATGGACATTTTAATCCTAGTTCTCGTCCGCACAGAGAAGCCTGGGGCACAGGCTGTAGGTCTTGTTCAAGAGGCTGTCTTTGGATTCCAGGAGCCAGGTCTTGGTGCGAGGACCCAGGTCCCTCAAGTGGTCTTCATAGTAGGTTTGCATGAAGCCCCGGAGGCCGCTGAGGCTCCTGTGGCAGAGAGGACTTCACAGTGCAGACCCCAGCGATCCGCAGCTGTTCTGTGCCCCGTTGATCACATTCTCTCTCTGATCCAGGAATTCCTGCTCTCACATCTAACCCAACCTTCCACTCCTCCCGGACCCAGGGGTCACAGCCCCACTCCTACCCTTTCCTCCTCCCTCAGACCCAGGGATTTAGACCCCAGCCCCTCCTCCCTCAGACCCAGGAGTCCAGGCCCCCAGCCCCTCCTCTCTCAGACCCAGAGGTACAGGCCCACTCCTACCCTTTCCTCCTCCCTCAGACCCAGGGATTTAGACCCTAGCCCCTCCTCCCTCAGACCCAGGAGTCCAGGCCCCCAGCCCCTCCTCTCTCAGACCCAGAGGTACAGGCCCCCAGTCCCTCCTCCCTCAGACTTGGGGATCCAGGCCCCCAGCCCCTCCTCTCTCAGACCCAGAGGTACAGGCCCCCAGTCCCTCCTCCCTCAGACCCAGAGGTACAGGCCCCCAGCCCCTCCTCCCTCAGACCCAGGAGTCCAGGCCCCCAGTCCCTCCTCCCTCAGACCCAGAGGTACAGGCCCCCAGCCCCTCCTCCCTCAGACTTGGGGATCCAGGCCCCCAGCCCCTCCTCCCTCAGACCCAGAGGTACAGGCCCCCAGCCCCCTCCTCCCTCAGACCTGGGGATCCAGGCCCCCAGTCCCTCCTCCCTCAGACCCAGAGGTACAGGCCCCCAGCCCCCTTGTCCCTCAGACCCAGGTGTCCAGGCCCCCAGCCCCTCCTCCCTCAGACCCAGGAGTCCAGGCCCCCAGCCCCTCCTCCCTCAGACCCAGGAATCCAGGCCCCCAGCCCCCTCCTCCCTCAGACCCAGGAGTCCAGGCCCCCAGCCCCCTCGTCCCTCAGACCTGGGGATCCAGGCCCCCAACCCCTCCTCCCTCAGACCCAGAGATACAGGCCCCCAGCCCCCTCATCCCTCAGACCCAGAGGTACGGGTCCCCAGCCCCTCCTCCCTCAGACCCAGAGATACAGGCCCCCAACCCCTCCTCCCTCAGACCCAGAGGTACGGGCCCCAGCCCCCACCTGAGACCCAGTCGTCCCCTCCCGCAGCCCAGCCCAGCACACACTCACCAGAGCCACTGCCACCTGTCTCTGGTCCTGGTCACCGCTGGCTCCAGGAGCTCCTTCATCCTGCTCTGCACCAGGTTCCAGTGAGTCGTCTTTTGCTCTGGTGAGGGGCTTGGGGTGCCTTCATCAGCTTCTGACTGGCATGCTAGGTTGGAACCAGAAGGCAACTGGGGTGGGCTGGGACCCTGGAATCCCCCCCTCCTCCCTTTCCCTCCATGCTCATCCATTACTCTTGGTGGCACAGGGGCAGCCCCCTGCCAGTCCTCTCGCCTCCTGCCTTTACCCTTATATGTCCCCTAACCTCCTATTCCTCTTTAACTATCAGCCATCTCTCTCTCTCTCTCTTTTTTTTTTTGACACGGAGTCTCTGGCTCTGTTGTCCAGGGTCAAGGGCAGTTCTCGGCTCACTGCAACCTCCACCTCCCAGATTCAGGCAATTTTCCTGCTTCAGCCTCCTGAGTAGCTGGGATTACAGGTACCTGCCATCATGCCCGGCTAATTTTTATATTTTTAGTAGAGATAGGGTTTCGATATGTTAGCCAAGCTGGTCTTGAACTCCTGATCTCAAGTGATCTGCCCACCTTGGCCTCCCAAAGCGCTGGGATTACAGGCGTGAGCCACTGCGCCCAGCCGGGCCATCTCTTTGCCGTGTGTCAGCAGCCCCTCTTGTCACTGTCTGCCTGCGGTTTCCCTCTAATCCCCTCTCTAACTGCCATCCTCTGATGCATCCCTTCACCACCTGATCTTGCTGCCCAGGAACACCTCCTTCCCCCTTAGTTCTGCTGTGACCCCCACCCTGTCTGAGCTACCTCTATGGACAGTGGAGGGAGAGCAGGAGGTGACTTTCTGCGCCCAGGGGTGGACACTGGCTTAGCCTTGCTGTCAGTTCCTCTTTTCAGGCCAGACCTTCTACCCATGCATGTGGACAAAGCCTCGCCTACAGAGATCAGCCGTCACGCGGAGGCCACTGTGACCGGCTATGTGCCTCGGCCAGTGACTCAACCTCTCTCTCCACGACTCAGTTTCTTCTTCTGTAGAATGGGATAATACCTACCTCAGGGTTATTGTGAGATTTGAGAGTTAATACATACGATGCACATAGAATCGTGCCTTGTACATTGTAGACGCTACATACATATTAAAAATTTAAATGCCAGCTGGGTGTGGTGGCTCATGCCTGTAACCCCAGTACTTTGGGAGACCAAGGCGAGTGGATCACCTGAGGTCAGGAGTTCAAGACCAGCCTGGGCAACATGGCAAAACCTGTCTCTACCAAAAATATAAAAAATTAGCCAGGTGTGGTGGCATGCGCCTGTAGTCCTAGGTACTCTGAAGGCTGAGGCAGGAGAATTGCTTGAACCCAGAAGGTCGATGGTGCAGTGAGCCAAGATCGCACCACTGCCCTCCAGCCTGGGAAACAGAGTGAGACTCTGGCTCCAAAAAAAGAAAAAGCCGGGCCGGGCGAGGTGGCTCAAGCCTGTAATCCCAGCACTTTGGGAGGCCGAGGAGGGTGGATCACGAGGTCAAGAGATCGAGACCATCCTGGTCAACAAGGTGAAACCCCGTCTCTACTAAAAATACAAAAAAAAATTAGCTGGGCATGGTGGTGCGTGCCTGTAATCCCAGCTCAGGAGGCTGAGGCAGGAGAACTGCCTGAACCCAGGAGGCGGAGGTTGCGGTGAGCCGAGATCGCGCCATTGCACCCCAGCCTGGGTAACCAGAGCAAGACTCTGTCTCAAAAAAAAAAAAAAAAAAAAAAAAAAGAAAAAGCCAGTGCAGTGGCTCATACCTGGAATCCCAACACTTTGGGAGGCCAAGGCAGATGGATCACCTGAGGTCGGGAGTTCGAGACCAGTCTGACCAACCATGGAGAAACCCAGTCTCTACTAAAAATACAAAATTAGCCTGGCCTGGTGGCGCATGCCTGTAATCCCAGCTACTCGGGAGGCTGAGGCAGGAGAGTTGCCTGAACCCAGGAGGCGGAGGTTGCGGTGAGCCGAGATCGCACCATTGCACTCCAGCCTGGGTAACAAGAGCGAAACTCCGTGTCAAAAAAAAAAAAGAGTAAAACTCTGTCTCAAAAAAAAATGCATATGCAAAACGCAGATGTATACACCAGCATGTACTCACAGATCCCTCACATGCATCCACACGCTCAATATTTTGCACACACATACCCCACAGAGAGGTTCACACAAACATATGCATGCACAATCACAGACATGAACCTTTTTTTTTTGAGATGGAGTCCTGCTCTGTTGCCCAGGCTGGAATGCAGTGGCATGGTCTCAGCTCACTGCAACCTCCACCTCCCAGGTTCAGACAATTCTCCTGCCTCAGCATCCCCAGAAGCTGGAATTACAGGTGCCTGCCACCATGCCCGGCTAAGTTTTGTATTTTTAGTAGAGATAGGGTTTCACCAGGTTGGTTAGGCTGGTCTCAAACTCTTGACCTTGTGATTCATCCACCTCTGCCTCCCAAAGTGCTGGGATTACAGGTGTGAGCCACTGCGCCCGGCCAGGGATGCACTTTTACCATGACTGCATACTCCCACTTGCATGCACACACACACACACACACACACACACACAAACACATGCACATACACACACATGCAGATGATCTGTGTGTACCAATGTTACATTCACACTTCATGCTCAGCCACTGACACACTCCCCGACATACGAATGCTATGAAATACATACACGCTGGGCACTCATGTCTCACATAGCTGCAAAGCCACAGGACACACAGCCACACTCATACCCACCAGGATGTGGGCCCCACATCCCTCCACCCTCTTCTTCTCACCCCCAATGCAGGCCAGGACCAGCACGCAGAGGCACAGCAAGGGCAGGGCCTGGAGCCTGTGTCTGAGGAGGGACATTTCTAGGGGTTCTGTCCCTCTGTCCCTCTGCTCAGCTCTGTGGGCCCGGGGAGGGGAGGCTGCCTGGAGCAGGGCCCTCCCCTGGCCACCTCCCCACGCCCCTTGGCAGGGACTTTAGAGAGCGGGCCCAGGTGACAATGGCAATCAGAGGTCATGCTTCTGTGGGCCTCCCTCCTGTCCACACCACATCATGCTCTGAGAGAAGACAGACAGCTCTTGAGCCTCCTGCGCTGAGGCAAGTTCAAAGCCACCTCCATGACAGCCTCATTTGCTGGACTCAGTTTCCTCCTTCATAAAATGGGAGGCACAGTCCATATTTCAGGACATCAATTGAATAGCATAAATAGAAAGGCCAGGTGCCACAGCTCACACCTGTAATCCCAGTACTTTGGGAGGCTGAGGAGGGCGGATCATATTAAGCCAGGAGTTTGAGACCAACCTGGCCAGCATGGTGAAACCTCCTCTCTACTGAAAATATAAAAATTAGCCAGGCATAGTGATGTGCGCCTGTAGTCCCAGCTACTTGGGAGGCTGAGGCAGGAGAATCCCCTGAACCTGGGAAGTGGAAGTTGCAGTAAGCCAAGATCTCTCCACTGCACTTCAGCCTGGACAACAGGGCAAGACTCTGTCTCAAAAAGCAAACAAAGGCCAGGCTTGGTGGCTCACACTTGTAATCCCAGCACTTTGGGAGGCCAAGGCGGGTGGATCACCTGAGATCAGGAGTTCAAGACCAGCCTGGCCAACATGGTGACACCTCGTCTCTACAAAAATACAAACATTAGCCAGGCATGATGGCGGGTGCCTGTAATCCCAGCTACTCGGGAGGCTGAGGCAGGAGAATCGCTCGAACCCTGGAGTCGAAGGCTGCGTGACCACAGTTGTGTCACTGCACTCCAGCCTGGGCGAAAGAGCAAGACTCCAAGACTGTCTCAAAAAAGAAAAAAAACGTGAAAAAAAAAAAAAAACAAAGAAAGCTCTTACCGTGGAGCCTGGCAATATAGGTGCTCAAAGATCATTGCCGTTAGTATTATCTTGTGTCTAATTTCTCCTAGCTCCTGGGCTGCAGGGCCAGCACGTGGTAGGGCCTCGAAACACAGTCTCATATCTCCAGCCTCTGTTTCCTCCAGGGTGGGCTGGGGCCCAGTCACCTCCAAACAGCCCTGGACTTCTCAATTCCAGCTCTTTCTCCTCTGGGTGATTCTGGCTTCAGACGGGCCTGGGCTTCAAATCCCCAACTCCTTCACCCTGTGAACTGGGCAAATACGTTCTCTTTTCTGGGGCTCGTATTTTTCAACTGTAACACGAGTTGATAGGAAGCACCTGCCTCCCAGCATCCGTGTGCAGGAGGGTTGAGGCTGCTGCAGAAAACTGCAGGTGCACATAGTAGGAGGTCATCAACATCAGCCCCAGGGCCAGGGAGGTGGCTCCCACCTGTAATCCCAGCACTTTGGGAGGCTGAGACAGGCAGACCGCTTGAGCCCAGGAGTTTGAGACCAGCCTGAGCAACAAGCTGAAAGAAACCTCATCTCTTTTTTTTATTATTTATTTTTTATTGTTTATTAAAAAAATTTTTTTTTGTTTTTTGAGTTTCGCTGTTGTTACCCAGACTGGAGTGCAATGGCACAATCTCCGCTCACCGCAACCTCCGCCTCCTGGGTTCAAGCAATTCTCCTGCCTCAGCCTCCTGAGTAGCTGGAACTACAGGCACGCGCCACCATGCCCAGCTAATTTTTGTATTTTTAGTAGAGAGGGTGTTTCACCATGTTGACCAGGATGGTCTCGATCTCTTGACCTCGTGATCCACCCGCCTCAGCCTCCCAAAGTGCTGGGATTATAGGCGTGAGTCACTGCGCCTGGCCTAAAAAAAATTTTTTTTATATGCTGCCACCTCCAGCCCTTCACATCAGCCTATGGCAGGAGGGAGTGGCTGAGACCCCATCTTTACAAAAAATACAAAAATTGGCTGGGCACGGTGGCTCATGCCTGTAATCCCAGGATTTTGGGAGGCCGAGGCAGGCAGATCACTTGAGGTCAACAGTTCAAGACCAGCCTGGCCAACATGGTGAAACACTGTCTCTACTAAAAATAGAAACATTGTCCAAGTGTTGTGGTGCGCACCTGTAATCGAGGGGTGACAGAGAGAGACCCTGTCTCAAAAACAAAACAAAAACAACAACAAAAACCAATAAAAAAAAAAACCCCACATCAGAACAGCCCCAGTGCCAGAAATAAAAGAGAGTTTTTCTCCTGAAGGACCCAGCTGCACCCCAGGGCACATGGCTCAATCAGAGGACCATGGGCTGGATCCTTTTGTCTACACTTGTCAGACAAAATAAAATAGAGAAGGCTCAGCCAGGCGCGGTGGGTCTCGCCTGTAATTCCAGCACTTTGGGAGGCCGAGGCAGGCGGATCACGAGGTCAAGAGATTGAGACCATCCTGGCCAACATGGTGAAACCCATCTTTACTAAAAATACAAAAGTTAGTTGGGCATTGTTGCTCATGCCTGTAGTTCCAGCTACTTGGTAGGCTGAGGCAGGAGAATCGTTTGAACCAAGACACAGAGGTTGCAGTGAGCCAAAATGGCGCCACTGCATTCCAGCCTGGGTAACAGAGTGAGACTCCATTAAAAAAAATAATAGGCCGGGCGCGGTGGCTCAAGCCTGTAATCCCAGCACTTTGGGAGTCTGAGACAGGTGGATCACGAGGTCAAGAGATCGAGATCATCCTGCTCAACATGGTGAAACCCCGTCTCTACTAAAAATACAAAAAATTAGCTGGGCATGGTGGCGCGTGCCTGTAATCCCAGCTACTCAGGAGGCTGAGGCAGGAGAATTGCCCGAACCCAGGAGGCGGAG